AGCTGTTCGGCCCGCAGTGAAAAGCACAGACGCGGCAGGGTTGGAAGATAACGGGTGGGAAAGCGGTAGGAGGGTGGCGTGAGGGGCTTAGCTTGGCTTCGGCTGCTGTGCGACCGCAACCTAGGCATGAGCAGGTAGAAATTACTTCCTCCAGCAGCTGGTTTAGCTCTTACCTATGCATTTATAAAGACATTAAGAACAGTAAGTTTTGCTTTGTAACATTTGAAGGCTATTTAATGTGTATCTAGAGCGACTATAGGAATTTAAGGGAGTTACTGCACTTGACAGAGCAAGACATAAGCAGTTGTTAAAGGAAAAAAAATGCAAAGCATGTTAGTAACTGTTTTCAAGGGGAGATACCGGTATAAAAAGCTCTAGATTGGAGATCAAGAAACTCAGTACATGACTTTGAACAGCTTACGTGTACATCTGCACGCTGAATAATACCGTAAGGCTGTAAAAGCGCATCCTAATCAAAGCGGTACCCACGTCTGGCTGCTGATGGCAGGTGTCTGCAGAGCAGTGTCAGGACAGGGCAGGCGTAGAGTGACAGTTCCCCAGGGGACTCTCCAAGTGTCCAGAAACTGGTGACACCGGCGCCTCCCGAGCCGCACGTTTCTGCGCCGTCCTGAGTTTAATGGCTTGATGTGCTTTACACCTAGGGCTTGAGATCTGGGAAAAATTCCATCGACCTCAACGTCCTGCCTTAAACGTGTTCAGTGCATTGTGGGAAGCACCAGTGTTGGCTTTGAACTTGCTCTTGGCTAGTTTCATTACAGCATCTCAGTTCTTTATCAGGAGGGGTAGTAAGCAGTCATTCCCTAGTCACCTTTTCGGTGACACTCATTGTTCTGTAGAAATTTCCAGAAAACACCCGTAGCCATTTCTTTTTCAGTCTTGCTTCATTTCGAGCGTTTTCCGTGCTGCATTTCTTGCAGAGAAGTGGTTTCATATAGAACTCTGTTGGTTTTGTTGATAATAGTAATACTGTTTTCCGTTTTGTTCCCTGTTCCTTCACAGAGGTTTCTAATATTCTATTCAGTTTCATCATAACCCAGCACTTGTCCTCGAATAGTAACGGGCAGCTCAGAGCCTTTGTTTTATTTGTGAAATGAGATTTCTTTTCTCCATGTGCATCACTGCACACACATCTGCACTGAATTTAATCGGCGATTTTTTTGGCCAGCCATTCACTATCTGCAGTTCTTCACAATCGGCTCTCACCTTTCTGCCAAGAACGTACCAACCTGAGCAAAGTTTGCCGCCTCACTGTTCATCCCCAGTTTAAATAACATCCCCGCTAAATATGACCTAAACCAAAATAAAATGGGATCCCTGTGCTAAGGAGATGCAATTTAAAGCATAAAGGGTCCTGTAGACCCTTACGTACCGGCTTAATGACGGGCACTCTGTGCTATCCTATGGGTGCTAATAAACCACCTCAGGGTGTGTAAATTTAAGCATGTAATAATAATGATGATGATAACTGAGGAGTAAGGATCTTACTAGTGGGAATTTAAACTCAAGATTTGAAAGTATCAGATAAGTATTTGCTAAAAAATCAGGATTATATTTGTTTGGTTTGGAAAAGGCGAAAAAGATATGCCTTCTTTTTTTCTCCCTGAAAAAATAGCTAAAAACTGCCAATTTGATATTTCCAGTTAGATTCTGATACAGAAATGCTATATGCCAAGTTTCAGAATAGCTCAGAATATTTTTACTTATATGAAGAGGGATTAATATATGTTTTTATTATGAAAATATAAAATAAACAGGGTACGTAACCATCCTAAGAAGGCAGGGAAGCACCTTATGCCAATATTTTTTTCTACCTGTTGCTAAGCGTATGTCTGATACAGAAGTTTAAAGATAAATATGTGTTCACTTGCTGCATAGTGCTATAGCTTATGCTACCGCACTTTTGGCTAGAGTTATGTTATTACACAGCACGTCATGTATGTATGTATTTGTGTCTACACATGCATGCACATACCTGAAATCTTGATATATGTAGGGGAAGGATAACGTAGACTGAAGTTTTGTATTGGCCTTACCTGTAATTTATGTATACTTTCATTAAAAAATTCTGTTCTATTTTTAAGATTATCCCCTCTGAGGATATGGCGTTAAGTTTCATTTCAAATATAATGAAATTCAATGTTAATATACTGTAATGCTTTTTTAGTGATAATAAATTTTAAACTTGACAAGCAAATAACATAAAATTCTGATGCACTGAGGAAACACTGAAAACTTGTCACATCAGATTTTTCTGTTACTGCTCTTTCTTATCTTCCAATAGCAAAGGAAACCGGTGGAATTACTTTTCAAAGGAAGCAGAATGTTATTCCATGAAGCTAGTTAAATGAACTGTCAATCCCATGCAATATTTCTATAAATTTTGCGTCCCGCCACTGAATTTCCCGTGGTATGTCCCACCCGCAGCTGTAGGCTATTCTGGGATAGAGCAATTCCCTTTGAGGCTGAACAGAATAGAAGTAGGCTAAGTTGCAGAATTTTAATACATGGAGAAAAAGAGAAATAACCTGGAAAAAGATACTGATTTAACACCCGCTGGAGTTACTGGAAGAACTTTCACTGACTTGCAGTTAGTGCAAACGTTCACAGGAACAAGGCTAATATTCTGAAGAACAGAGACCTTAATCTTCTTCAGAGCACCAAGGATGACCTATATAAAGCCTGTAGTACAAGCATTTGATACCAAACTGTATTTTTATCCTATTTATCAAAAAGTTGCAAAGTTCTGCAGTGTTTCAGTATACCTAAGTAGAAGGTACCCCACTAAGCGTGCAACGTTTCTCTTCGGGTCACTTGGAACACAAAGTTCAAACATGAGTTGCGTTCGCTGTTGAATTGCTGGAGATGACATTTTCTAAGCTCGTGACGGTCTGCTTTAATAAGTGGTAATTCCTCCAGCAAGTTAAGTTATTTGCTTGAGTCGCCTTGCTGAGTCCCTCTGATATCTTGAGATGCAGGTTTTTTCCTGACGGTGTATCTTTCAGACCGAAGTTGTCAACGGAAGTGCTGCGATGTCTAATTATTAAAAGATTGAGAGTCTGAACCAATAATTTTGAAAGAACTAAGGAGGACTCTCATTTATCGTATTATACGTTAAGAACGGCATAACTTTATGCACAGACCTCTTCTAAGATGAAGACCCCCACCCCAAACCCCACTTCTCCAAAAAAGAAAGAACAAAATGGCAGCAGCGTCCATCATACCTAATAAGCTGTTCAACACCCAGAAAAGAGTGAAAAAGTAAGATCTTCTGCCTTTGAATTTATGGCGA